TTTAAACCAAAAATACAAACATAAACAATCTTATCACGCTAACATAGATTAGGTAAAATCCATCTCCATTTTACTCTTTAAACCAAAAACAAACACAAACAATATTAAAAACGGTACCCAGACTTTTACCACTAAACCAAAACCAAACTAAACCAAAAAAAACCCAAGTATCAAAAACATAACTAACAACACTCCTCGCTAGTTAAACCGAGACCAGCTAATCACCAGTGATAGCCGACGTACCCGAGGGCCTGGGCGCGAGGGGCTGCTCGACGGGGCCTGTCGTGGGCGTGACGGAAGGGGGCGTGTCAGCTGGCCGGAAGGTGGAGGACCTCTGCGCCAGGACACTTCGCTCGTTACGTCGGAACTTGGCGCGTCGATTCTGGAACCAGACCTGGGGGGGAGGGGCAGAGAGGGGGGAGGTTGCTTGAGATGTTCGTGTATATGAGGATAGTAATAATTCTGATAATAATAGAAATAATGATAGTAATAATAATAATGACAATAATAATAATGATGATGATGATAATGATAATAATAATAATGATAATAGTAATAGTAAAATAATAATGAAGATGATAATAGTAACAGCAACAACAACAATAATAAATATGATAATAATTATGATAATAGTAATAACAGAAATAGTAAATCAAGGCTTGAGTGTGATTCCCTGTGAACTCATAATAATATTCAGACAATGAAAACTTGATTACCATATATATAGCAAGGAAAAACCCACAAAAAACTATACACTTCGAGTAGATATCATCGCATGTTGAAATCCCTACGAATGGCCATGTTGATCGCCTACCAAGGTCAATAAGTGATGCGCAAAGGGTGGATAGAATATGAAGTACCTTTTGTTGGGGTTTCATGAGTCATTTAGTAATAATGATCATAATCATATTAGAAATGATGTGAGTAATGATAGTGAAGATGATAATAGTAATGATAATGGTGATGATAATAGTAATGATATTGGTGATGCTTATAAAAATAATGATAATAACTATGATAATAAAATTGAGGATAATAACAGTAACAAGAAAAAGTGTAATAATTATCGTACTCATCATTACTATTACCATCGGCGAATGCTGACACATTTAATGGCTTAAACAATTTCATAAAAAAATCTCTTCTCTTTATATGTGTTTTTTTCGGGTTTGACAAAGTTCAAAAGGCCCCAAATTCTTTAGCATAAAACATTATTACGGTTTGCGCAAGACAAAATTCTGAATGCAATATACAAAATAGGAACAGAACAATGTAACGTTGTGACCGCAAGAAACACGATTGGATGCAGGGTTATTGCAACATGGGAAAAGAACCAAGTGTAAACGATTACTTGGTCATTATACGCAAAACGCAAAAACTATACATAAGAATTCCATGCTATCTCATGTGTTAGAAGAGATATATAACGGTAAACTGTATCCTAAATTCGAATGCAGTGTGATAGTATGAGCATATATGTAACAATGCCTCTCCTCTTTTAAGCCGGGATGAGTAGATAAAAGACCATGCAATCGGTTTTACCTTTTGATACACTACAGGATACAAACATGTCATAACCAAATTTGTAACATAACACTATCGTATAATGTTATGGTTATTGATTCAAATGTATCAGAGCCTACATAAATTACTAAATTAATCACTGACTACTTTTAACTGCAACATTACTATCAAAACAAGGTTCAGGAGTAATTTTCTGCGATTCTGTATGGCCTCCAGTATTATGACTGTTTTTCCTAAAGTCGAAATCGTCTAAGGCTCATACAACACAAGAATAGGATATGTCTACGAAAATTTGAACTGGGTAAAGGTTGTGTAGTCAGGTCGGTTAAACATACAGTGTGGAAGAATCTTAGCGTTAACTTTACACTGAAGAAAACGAGTTAAAAACTACGATATCTCAGAGTGCCATGTGATAGAAGTCTTTCCAGCCAGCTGTAATTTCATTGTAGAGCTATGCAAATCTTCCAGCTCTTTGTTATACTAGAAGGTATGATTACTTAATTTCCAAAATTCGGAATGCGATATGTAATATGGTAGTATATCATGTATAACTAATCCTGCTCGGGATTGGGCAGTACGCCGGGGTGGTATATGTATAGGTGTAAAAGTATATGTATGGTTATGCCTTCCCAAGTGATGTACAAGAAGAAATAATTTATATCACAAATGTGTAATGTTAATATTATGAAATGATAACATGACCATACATCAAATGCATCAGAGCCTACACACGGTTATCCAGATAGCCAGAGTGGTTAATGAAAGACAGACCTAAACTAACCTGTACCTAAAGACTCTCATGCAGTGGTTCCAATTTTGAGACAGAAGGAGCCTGTGGGTCTAAGTTTGAAATTTTAAAAGGCTCCAGCGTAAGATGTATTATTACCCCAGGTGAAGCTGCAAATCCATTGATTTAATTGCATGCCAAGTTATATGCGTCTTTCAGTAGAGAGATGAAATTGGAAAAGGAGTTTGTTATGAGTTGCTAAAATCGGCTTGTTCATTATGCACATCTTAAGATTAAAGATTCGTAACGAACCGGTATTTATTTATTCTCCTTGTCATTTACACACTAAAAAGAGAGATGATATATTCACAATATTTTTACTCGATTTTTTTCATGTTAAAAAAAAATCACAAGAAAGTCGTAAGAATATCACAGTATATCTTTATTCAGCGCAATCACTGTGATAGTAAGATATCAAGTTCAGTTTGCATAATGTGTTTAAGCACACAAGCCGCAGGGGAATGTCAACATTGTCATATAAACAAATAAAGCTTGTCACCCTGACATATCAGTAATCAATTGACTGCGAGATGCGTTTGAGATTGCTAAACAAATTGCTCAATATCATAATTCTTATAACTGATCTTCCTTTAAGCTCAATATCATGATTCCTACAATTGATCTTTCTTTAAGCTTAATATGATATTTTTTAAATAGTTGATCTTCCCGTAAGACGTCTTGTCCTGTTGGTTACACAGGAGAATAGAGTATTTCTGGACCACCCAATATGATGCCGGGAAGTATCTCGATGCGATATATTCGAATCCATGTGACACTAAGGCAATGCAGAGTATTGTTAGCTATGATCTTATCACTTAATTCAGAATAACTATTACACAGGGAGGAAAGGATTTAATGCTATAATTTATGCATACGTATTTTACGTTCAAACTTGTGGATTCACTTACTGTTCTATCTATCATTTAGTATCCAGCGCGCACGCACACACACACACACACACACACACACACACACACACACACACACACACACACACACACACACGAACACACACACACACATACACGCACACACACACACACACACACACACACACACACACACACACACACACAGACACACACACACACACACACAGACTCACATAAGAACACACTAACACTTTAAGTGCCGGATATATTCGTTTAAAAGCATGTATTTATAGGCCTTAAACGTGGGATTAATTAAGGAGTAAATATAAAACAAATATGTTAACAATTATCAAATTAATGCCAACCGCATGTCCCTAATCAAGGCTTACTCTCTCTCTCTTTCTCTCTCTCTCTCTCTCTCTCTCTCTCTCTCTCTCTCTCTCTCTCTCTCTCTCTCTCTCCCCTCTTCTCCCTCTCTGTCTTTCTCTCTTCCTCCCCCCTATCTTTCTCCCTCGTTTTTCGTTCTATCTTAATCTTTCTCTCTGTTTCTTATTCGTGTCATAATCTTCCTCTCATTCTTCCCTCTTCCCCTTTTTTTCTGCCGTGCAATCTCTCTATCTCTCCTTCCCTCTCCTTCTTCCACTTGTCTTTGTTTTTCCCTACCCCTCCTTTCGTTTTCTCCTTCCTTTCTCTCTTTTTTTTTCTTTCGCACACCCTCTCTCTCTCTCTCTCCCTCTTCTTCTCCCCCTACCTTTATCTTTCCGTCTCTTTCTTTCTCTCCTTCTTCATTTCCTTCTTTCTGTTTCTCTCGTGCATCATCTCTTTCTCACTTCCATTTGTCCCTCTGTATCTCCCCATCTCTTTCTTTCTCTCCTTTTTTTCGCCTCTTCCTTTCTCTATCTACCTCTCTCCTACTTCTATCTTTCCCTCTCTTTGTTTCTCTCCTTCTCTCCCCTCTTTTTTTTCTCGCGCACCCTCCCTGCCTTCCTCCCCCTCTCTCCCGCTCTTTCTCACTTCCCCCTACATTTATTTTTCCCTCTCTCTTTTCTTTCCCCTCTTTTTCTCTCGCGCACCTACTCTGCCTCCGTCCTTCTCTCCCCTTCTCTTCCTCACTTCCCTCTGTTTTTCTTTTACCCATCTCTTCCCCCCCCTTTTATTTATTTCTTCCTCTCGTCCCCCTCTTTCTTTCTCTTCTTCGTTCTCCTCTTTCTTTTTCCCTCATGCACTCTCTTTAGTTCCCTTTCTCCTTCTTCTCCTTCTCTTCCTCACTTTCCTCTGTCTCTATTTTTCCCTCTCTTTCTTTCTCTTTTTCCTTCCCTATTTCTTTCTCTCTCGCGCACCCTCTCGACTTCCCCTCCCCTCTCTCTCTCTTCGTCTCCCAATTTCTTTCTCTTCTTCGTTTCCCTCTTTCTGTCTCTCTCTCGCACACACCCTCTGCCTCCCTCTCCCCCTTCTTTTCCCTCCCTTTATCTTTCTCTCCTTCGTTCCCTCCCTTTCTTCCTCACTCGCTCACCCTCTCTGCCTCCCTCTCTCCTTCTTTTCCCTACCTTTATCTTTCTCTCCTTCGTCCCCTCCCTTTCTTCCTCACTCGCGCACCCTCTCTGCCTCCCCCCCCCCCTCCTACTGTTTCTCACTTCCCCCCCGTCGACTCTTCCTCACCAAAAAATACAACGTTAATGTTTACATCCCAGACCACCACGGTAGGTTTTCAGTGTATCCTTGTGCTGATTCATTACGCTATATTTAATGACAGAGGCGATTCTGACGTTGATGGTACTTTTTAACGGGTATCGTATACCGGCGAGGAAGTAGAGGGAAGGGGGAGGCAGAAAGATGGATAGAATGGGTGAGAGGCAAGATGGGAGACACCTGCTTGTAATGTGTGTTAGTCCTCTGGTATCCATTTCGAGAGCTCACCTGAATCACCTCCGGAGGCTCAGGGTTCATCATCTGTCAGGTGATTATTCGTCTTATATTTTTTTTTCTTTTCTCTTTTTTTAAAAACTTTGTAAGGTTTATTGGAGTATATATATTTTTTTCTGTCTCTTTCTTGTGGTTGCTGGATAAGAGCGTGCGTTTTTATATTTGTGTGGTTGAGGCCGGCGGGTGATTTGGTCGGAGGGCTCTAAGCTATGCACGTGGCGCCAAAAATACTTTGGTCGGGGTGGAGAGACGCTCATCAGAAGAGCCAGGTCGTTCCGCCTGTCACTC